AGTTTAAATAAGTTGAAAATGAAATGTCTTAAATGACTAGAAACCTTATAAGAGTTTTATTTTTCATTAGCATTTGTATATGTTCTCAATTCTCATTATTTTCCAAATATATATCAATGATTTTACGCCGAATTGGAACTCCGAATCGTTTATTTAAATAATCGATTTGTAATATAGCGCCATCTATTGAAAGAATCTTACAGAATAAAGATAACTCTAAATAAAAATATTTAAATTTGGTATAAAAAATAATTTAAAAAAATCGCAATAAAAATTATGCTATGTGTAAAGTTGGAAAAAAAACGCGTGCATTAAAATAAAGGGTATAGCCGGTTTAATATGAGAAATCTGCCCCCGTGGCTTTTTCGATTCGCATTTGGGGGATCGATTTGGTGTCGAATAAGAATAATTCACCTCAAATTTTAGCTCTTTTACTCAAACGGTTCTCGAGGTTTTCAAAAAAACCGATTTTTTCGATTTTATTTTTATATTTATAGTAAAACTCAAAACTAATCAATGATGATTTTTTTTCTAGTTCTTAGGAGTCCACAACATGAAAAAAAATATGATCATAATATTTAAACGAAAAGCCGATTTTTGGCGGACAAAAGAAAATTAAAATCTTTTTTTTTTTTTAACTTTTTTGGAATATGTGACTTACCAAAACTTGTCAGAAAATGTCTTTTATACTCCTCTACACTCAGGAATTTTCTTGAATTTTTTGAAGTGGTGGAACAATATGAAAAAAATTAAAAACTCATTTTTTTTCTAAAATCCCAAGTTTTAACTAATTTATATGTTTTTTCAGTTAAAAAAAAATGTGAAAAATTATTTTTTTACTCAAAATACACTTTGCCAGAAATAAACATAAAGATTATTATAAGACAATTAAGATATATTCCGTCTAACGTAATTAGAAGGGTTATTAATTATTGAAAATACATTTAAAGATAGTACTTATATATTCTTTATACGGTTAGATATTATTCTAAATCTTATGCAACAAAAGTAAAAATTATAATAAAAGATGTAACTATATTAGTCTTCATCACTGTCTTCATTCACTACGACACTAATTTTTTCATCGATGAACAGGCGACTCAGGATCTCAGCTGGTCTTACAATTTTCGCCAAATATCGAGCGTAAGATAAATAATATATGATAGAAGCAATGTGAGAGCAACATCCAACAGTGCGTCTACCATTCGCACAATCACAACAATATCGAGTTATTCCGGAAATATCGTTCTTATCTGTCTAATATTCAATAAAACAACGATATGTCTTCGAATTAATATGTCGAGATCTGACTTCAAACTTTATAATATTAGGTGTCATTTTTAAATAATAGAATGTGATTATTCCGTTTTCATCCATCATCTCAGCTAAATACGATACAGCTTRAGACATTTGATATGATYCAGTGAAAAGAATTTTGAGTTCTTGCTCTGATAATTCTGGAAGGTCAGTTAATTGCTCTGAAGTTATTATTGTTAAGAATAGCGTACATATTAGATAGACTACAGGCCCGACCTAAAAATTCGATGGGTTATATGATCCCGCAGGAAACCTATATTGGACGATATAAGGGCATAAAATAATAATTTTTAGCACTATGCCGTTACTTGTAAGCTGTTTACCTGAGTGCAGGTGAGAATTAAAAAGCACAAAATAACCGAGTGCTTTTTTATCAAATGATTTTTGACGGCATTCTTACCACCTATAGATCCATCGAAAATAATGAGAAAACACGTAGTGCCGTTAAAAAATAGTAAGCCACAAAGTCGGAAAAAATTTTTGATTTTCTGACAAAACCCCGGGTCTATTACATCATTTAATTATGAACGGCGTTGGTTTCATACAATTTAAATACCTATTTTAATTGATTATTCCGCAACACCGTACAAAAATCATGCAACAAGGGAGAAAAATCGAGGGTTAAAATCCACCTTTTTCCACGGGCCTGGGGGATGATCTGAAACTACATAAAATTAATTTATTTTGAAAGTATTTTATGCATAGAAAACATTTTTCCACATGCCGTACTTTTTTTTTGGTCAAAGGATCTGTAAGAGGAAAAAAACTTCCGAAAAATCCATGTAAAAAAATGTACTTTTGGGTGATTTTTAGTACGACATTTTTTTGTACGGCATTTAAATAGTTTATTTTTATTTAATGCAATCGTCTATAAAAAATCAATGCCGTACAAATCTGATAGTTCATATTTATAAAAAAGTAATAAAAATAATAAATATATATAGTTTTCATTTTATGTTGTTTGCTTCGTAAAATGAACTCTCCTTTAAAATTAATATAAATCAAATAATAAATATTAATTATTAAATGAATATTTATTTATTAAAATACTTGTCTATTTTTTAATTTACATTTTAAATACGTACATATAGTGTTCAGGAGGGTAGTACGAACGCGAAGTATACATATAATATAATATATACGCATATTGTATATGTATGTGTATGTGTATATTAGATAAACATATTACAAAACCAAGCAATAAAAATTTTGTTGGTAGTGAAAGTGTATTAAATGCTGGACATGTGATTAAGTGTGGGCAAGTATCAAGTCGTGATTGTAATATTATAAGTATTTTAGCTTTTTATTTAAGAACTTCACATATTAAAGGAAATCAACATGAAATAACTAGTGGAATATTGAAAAATGGTCGAATAATTGGAATGAGTTGTTCATACAAGGCTGGTTTAAGTGGTATTTGTAAATATGTTGTTGCAGTATTGCAATATCATTAACAGTCACTAATTTAATTGATCTTCTACGTATTCTTTCTTCTCGAGAATCTATTTGATCTACAGGACAAGCACATTCTTTGGATGATCCTAAAGGAAGATTTTGACTAGGAATACTTGTTTTTTTTAAATAAGTTCGAGTTGAATCAATAGCTATAACAATACACAAAAACAATATAGGCATGAGTAAATTTATTGATTTAACAATTTATAATAACCAGAAAAAATAATTGTAATAAATACTTACGTGAAGGTAAAAAACCTAATTTTTTCATCACGACAAGCTATGTTTGTACAACCAAATACACAGCAATAGACTTTACTTTTATTTTTTCTTGCTGGGAATTCCGTAAGAAAAAAAAATTCTTTATAACAACTTTTTAATTTAACAATACTAGTTATTTTCAATTGTACTTTCAATAATAAATAAACAAGTCATAAAATTAAATATATATATATTTCCACATAAATATTGTGTAGTTTAAGTCAGCTATCAGCAAGTTTATTGTTTACTTATAAAACATATGTGAAATTATTTAATAAAATTGTAGTACTTTTTATTTTTTATTAATATTTCCTATATAAACAAATTATAACAATATTTGAAGTATATTTCATCCAAAATTATTGAAAAATGTTAATACTGAGTTTGATAGTTTTTATTTTTTGGATATAATATTGACACTGTTTCACTTTAAATAAACGGCATAATGATTTTTACATATTATCAATTGTTCCCTTCAAAAATATATAAATGCCGTACAGTATTAGATGACGATAAAGTACCCCCTAAAACGGTAGTGTTATTTTTATTTGCCAAAAAATATGGTCTGCATTAAAATGAACGGCATGATTTTTTCTTAATTCATTGACTCTTATACTATTTAAAACAACAATAACATTTAAGAAATTGCTTTATGTTATTAATGTACGACAACTTAAACTTTTACAAAAATTGAAAAAATTTCATTTTTTGTTTTCTCTATATTTTTTTTTAGAACAGCTTTTTTTTAACGACAATAACACAGAACAATTGTACTTAGCAATATCATGGTAAAAACAAGTTGCCGTACAGAGTCAAATGATTTTGTAGATGTAAAAATCAAATATACGATTTAATTAAGTTAATTATTGATATACATTCAAATAAACAACAATTTTTAAACAGCATTATTTTAATTAGTACTTCTGAGTGCTAAAAAATAAACTGAAACTGATGCCGTTGTTTTCAGATCATCCTTCAGACCCGTGAAAAAAGGTGGATTTTAACCCTCGATTTTTCTCCCTTGTTGCATGATTTTTGTACAACGTTGCGGAATAATCAATTAGAAGAGGTATTGAAATTGTATGGAACCAATACCATAAAAAATCAAATGACCAAGTTGATTTAAAAATTCGCTGGAAAAACAAAAAATTTTTTAGACATTGTGGCCTACTATTTTTGTACGGCACTACGTGTCTTCTGATTACTTTCGATGGATACATTGGTGGTAAGAATGCCGTACAAAAATATATGACAAAAAAGACCCCATCTTCCTATGCTTTTGAATTCACACGTGCACTCAGTTGGACAGTTTACAAGTGACGGCATAGTGCTGAATGTTATTATTTTATGCCCCCGCATCTTTTCAAATAGGTTTCCTGGTGGGTCAAATGACCTATCGATTTTTTAGCATGGGCCTGTAGTCTATAAACTGTCTGTTTCGTTAGCCTATTATAAGCGAAATATGTACGTATACAACTTAGGTTTCCATAATTTCCATAATGACAATGTCAAGATGTATGTATGGGATGTAACTACAGCTTCAAGAGGTCGTAATAAATACGTACTATATCTGACTTCTCTTCTTTCGTATAACGATAAATCGCACTAAGTATCTGCAAACACTCTGTGAAATAATACTTAAATAATTTTCAGTATTTCATTAATAATCAGAAACTTTCTAGAACTAAAAAGATTTCTAAAAAGGTTTTTGAAAGATTTTTTTAAAATCTTATCACCATATTTTGCAAAAGATTTCTAGAAATATTTTTGAAATGTTTTTAAACTATTTTTGAAATAGTTTTATACTTTCTTTTAAACTTCCCCTAAATCCTTTCTAAAATCTTTTGAAAATATTTATTTAAAATGTTTCAAAAGTTATTTCAAAAAGTTTGTAAAAAATATTGTAGCAAGGTAAAAATTTCTGCATCAGAAATTTGCAAAAGATTTCTAAAAAGGTTTTTGAAAGATTTTCTGAAACCTTATCGTCATGTTTTGTTAAAGGTTTCTATAAATATGTTTAAAATGTTTTTAAAATATTTTTGAAATATTTCTGAAATATGTTTATAATACTTTTATACTGTCTTTAAAACTACTCCTAAATCTTTGTAAAATATTTTTAAAACATTTACTTCAAATGTTTCAAAATATCGTTTAGAAAGCTTTCAAAAAATATTGTTGTAGTAAAAATGTTTGCACCAGATACTTGCAGCATGGGAGTTTTAAAATGTTTTGCATAATTTCATGAAAGGTGTGTACAGAATATAACTTTCTACAGGTGATTAAACCTACCACATACCCACTATACTTCGATTTCTTTTTATCACCTACATTTCAAATGTTAAAATTGATATAAATGCGTAACGACCATAAATTTCTTTTTGAAAAACATTTGTGGTATAGCGACAGATTCTTCCCTATCTATCCTTTCTGTATTTCTAACTTGATTCGAGACTATAGGTGTTTTCTGAGGATAGGATTTTCCTTCTAAGAATTATTTAAGCATTTTATCGATAAGCTTTTCCTGATCCAAATGAAAGATTTTATTTTTCCTATCTCTTCGAATTCTAATACCCAAGTACTCTTTAAGGGGACACGTCACCTTCGAGTACAAAAAAAAAGCGGTTTTTTTGTGAATTTTTATTGCAGCCAGTTTTGTTAATATCAATACAAATTTTTGGCATATGTAAGTTATATATCTGAACTATATTCACAATTTTTTGTGTGTAAAAATATTGTAAATTGTGTCGTCTGTGGTCACTTTTCTAAGAGTTAAAAAAAAAAGGTGATTTTCGGTTGCACTCACTGGCAAAAATTGGTTCATCAGAAACATAAAAACCGAGTGTTATCCTTTAGTAGAGATGTTGGCGCAGGGAATGAACGAAAGGAAGTTTTGATTTTTTAATTTTTCTCAAAATAGTCGACTTTTTACGAAAAAATTGACATTATTGCACAAAAATCGCCGAGTTTTTGAGAAAAGAAAAAAAAATTGGCATTTTTTCGAAAAGTCCTTCCATTCATTCCCTAGATACGTGTATCTAGTGTTACTGTACAGAATTTGGTAAGGATCGGATAAATGGTCTGGACGCAGCGAGGGCAACCGTTTTAAAAACGCGAATAGGAGAAATTAACGTTTAAACGCTTACTTGGAGCGATACGGCGCGCTCAGTTTAAACTACTACAGTTTCGTAAATAATGGGCGGATCTTTACCAAAGTTTGAAGAAATATTTTTGAAATAATATTCTTTCAGAAAATCGAAACAAAAATCGATTTTTTTGTTGACGTGTCCCCTTAAATTCACCAAAGTCTTTCATTTCCAACTCAGCTTTGAGCTTTACTTTAATTTCCAACATTTTACCTGGATGATTACCTATTTCTATTATGTCATGAACATAAACAAGTAAATGTACAAAATCATTACCATCTCTCCAGGTAAATAAGCATGGATTAACTAAATTTTTCTCAAGCCCTATTTTGAGTGCAACTTCAGTGAATTTTTCATTCCATTTCTTCGGACTTACTTTTAAGCCATACAACGATCTTTTAAGCTTGCAAACTTGATCCTTTAGCTCTTGACCTTCAGGAAGAAGTTCTTCAGATATTTCCATATAGACTAATTGATCCAACTCACCATACAAGAAAGCAGTATCAACGTCCAATTGACACATATCAAGGTCGTAAGCATTTGCTATCGCAAATAACGCTCTTATCAATAACAATCGAGAAACAGGTGCATAGGTTTCTTTCAAATCGTACTCGTTTCGATCTTTAAAACCTCATATAACGAGTCTCGCCTTGTAAAGCTTCTCACCTTTTTCATCAACTTTGGTTT